TATATAGGGGCCTATGGCAGATTAGGGGCCTGGCAGCAGCTATGGGAGGCCCGTAATCTGCCAGCACCCTATGTCAAAAAATTCTACACAACACCACCAGTGTGTGAGGAGACCTGAAAGTGGCACATGGCAGAGTGTGGCGATGGAGACAGCAGCAATGGGAGGCCGTACAGGGACCCATGAGCAGACTCTGGACCTGGCAGCAGCATGAGGAGGCGGTATATAGGGGCCTATGGCAGATTAGGGGCCTGGCAGCAGCTATAGGAGGCCCGTAATCTGCCAGCACCCTATGTCAAAAAATTCAACACACCAGCAGTGTGAGGAGACCTGAAAGTGGCACATGGCAGAGTGTGGCGATGGAGACAGCAGCAATGGGAGGCCGTACAGGGACCCATGAGAGACTCTGGACCTGGCAGCAGCATGAGGAGGCGGTATATAGGGGCCCATGGCAGATTAGGGGCCTGGCAGCAGCTATGGGAGGCCCGTAATCTGCCAGCACCCTATGTCAAAAAATCAACACACCAGCAGTGTGAGGAGACCTGAAAGTGGCACATGGCAGAGTGTGGCGATGGAGACAGCAGCAATGGGAGGCCGTACAGGGACCCATGAGAGACTCTGGACCTGGCAGCAGCAGCATGAGGAGGCGGTATATAGGGGCCTATGGCAGATTAGGGGCCTGGCAGCAGCTATGGGAGGCCCGTAATCTGCCAGCACCCTATGTCAAAAAATTCAACACACCCAGCAGTGTGTGAGGAGACCTGAAAGTGGCACATGGCAGAGTGTGGCGATGGAGACAGCAGCAATGGGAGGCCGTACAGGGACCCATGAGAGACTCTGGACCTGGCAGCAGCATGAGGGCGGGCGGTATATAGGGGCCCATGGCAGATTAGGGGCCTGGCAGCAGCTATGGGAGGCCCGTAATCTGCCAGCACCCTATGTCAAAAAATTCTACACACAGCAGTGTGTGAGGAGACCTGAAAAGTGGCACATGGCAGAGTGTGGCGATGGAGACAGCAGCAATGGGAGGCCGTACAGGGACCCATGAGAGACTCTGGACCTGGCAGCAGCATGAGGAGGCGGTATATAGGGCCCTATGGCAGATTAGGGGCCTGGCAGCAGCTATGGGAGGCCCGTAATCTGCCAGCACCCTATGTCAAAAAATTCAACACACCAGCAGTGTGTGAGGAGACCTGAAAGTGGCACATGGCAGAGTGTGGCGATGGAGACAGCAGCAATGGGAGGCCGTACAGGGACCCATGAGAGACTCTGGACCTGGCAGCAGCATGAGGAGGCGGTAATATAGGGGCCCTATGGCAGATTAGGGGCCTGGCAGCAGCTATGGGAGGCCCGTAATCTGCCAGCACCCTATGTCAAAAAATTCAACACACCAGCAGTGTGAGGAGACCTGAAAGTGGCACATGGCAGAGTGTGGCGATGGAGACAGCAGCAATGGGAGGCCGTACAGGGACCCATGAGAGACTCTGGACCTGGCAGCAGCATGAGGCGGTATATAGGGGCCATGGCAGATTAGGGGCCTGGCAGCAGCTATGGGAGGCCCGTAATCTGCCAGCACCCTATGTCAAAAAAAATTCTACACACCAGCAGTGTGTGAGGAGACCTGAAAGTGGCACATGGCAGAGTGTGGCGATGGAGACAGCAGCAATGGGAGGCCGTACAGGGACCCATGAGAGACTCTGGACCTGGCAGCAGCATGAGGAGGCGGTATATAGGGGCCTATGGCAGATTAGGGGCCTGGCAGCAGCTATGGGAGGCCCGTAATCTGCCAGCCAGCACCCTATGTCAAAAAATTCAACACACCAGCAGTGTGTGAGGAGACCTGAAAGTGGCACATGGCAGAGTGTGGAGATGGAGACAGCAGCAATGGACCTGGCAGCAGCATGAGGAGCGGTATATAGGGCCCATGGCAGATTAGGGGCCTGGCAGCAGCTATGGGAGGCCCGTAATCTGCCAGCACCCTATGTCAAAAAATTCAACAACTACACACCAGCAGTGTGTGAGGAGACCTGAAAGTGGCACATGGCAGAGTGTGGCGATGGAGACAGCAGCAATGGGAGGCCGTACAGGGACCCATGAGAGACTCTGGACCTGGCAGCAGCATGAGCATGAGGAGGCGGTATATAGGGGCCCATGGCAGATTAGGGGCCTGGCAGCAGCTATGGGAGGCCCGTAATCTGCCAGCACCCTATGTCAAAAAATTCTACACACCAGCAGTGTGTGAGGAGACCTGAAAGTGGCACATGGCAGAGTGTGGCGATGGAGACAGCAGCAATGGGAGGCCGTACAGGGACCCATGAGAGACTCTGGACCTGGCAGCAGCATGAGGAGGCGGTATATAGGGGCCCATGGCAGATTAGGGGCCTGGCAGCAGCTATAGGAGGCCCGTAATCTGCCAGCACCCTATGTCAAAAAATTCTACACACCAGCAGTGTGTGAGGAGACCTGAAAGTGGCACATGGCAGAGTGTGGCGATGGAGACAGCAGCAATGGGAGGCCGTACAGGGACCCATGAGAGACTCTGGACCTGGCAGCAGCATGAGGAGGCGGTATATAGGGGCCCATGGCAGATTAGGGGCCTGGCAGCAGCTATAGGAGGCCCGTAATCTGCCAGCACCCTATGTCAAAAAATTCTACACACCAGCAGTGTGAGGAGACCTGAAAGTGGCACATGGCAGAGTGTGGCGATGGAGACAGCAGCAATGGGAGGCCGTACAGGGACCCATGAGAGACTCTGGACCTGGCAGCAGCATGAGGAGGCGGTATATAGGGGCCTATGGCAGATTAGGGGCCTGGCAGCAGCTATAGGAGCCCGTAATCTGCCAGCACCCTATGTCAAAAAATTCAACACACCAGCAGTGTGAGGAGACCTGATGGCGAATGGCAGACGATGAGAGACAGCAGCATGGGAGGCCGACAGGGACCCATGAGAGACCTGGAGGCAGCAGCATGAGGAGGCGGTATATAGGGGCCCATGGCAGATTAGGGGCCTGGCAGCAGCTATGGGAGGCCCGTAATCTGCCAGCACCCTATGTCAAAAAAAATTCAACACACCAGCAGTGTGTGAGGAGACCTGAAAGTGGCACATGGCAGAGTGTGGCGATGGAGACAGCAGCAATGGGAGGCCGTACAGGGACCCATGAGAGACTCTGGACCTGGCAGCAGCATGAGGAGGCGGTATATAGGGGCCCATGGCAGATTAGGGGCCTGGCAGCAGCTATGGGAGGAGGCCCGTAATCTGCCAGCACCCTATGTCAAAAAATTCTAACACACCAGCAGTGTGTGAGGAGACCTGAAAGTGGCACATGGCAGAGTGTGGCGATGGAGACAGCAGCAATGGGAGGCCGTACAGGGACCCATGACAGACTCTGGACCTGGCAGCAGCATGAGGAGGCGGTAGGCGGTATATGGGGCCTATGGCAGATTAGGGGCCTGGCAGCAGCTATAGGAGGAGGCCCGTAATCTGCCAGCACCCTATGTCAAAAAATTCAACACACCAGCAGTGTGTGAGGAGACCTGAAAGTGGCACATGGCAGAGTGTGGCGATGGAGACAGCAGCAATGGGAGGCCGTACAGGGACCCATGAGAGACTCTGGACCTGGCAGCAGCATGAGGAGGCGGTATATAGGGGCCCATGGCAGATTAGGGGCCTGGCAGCAGCTATGGGAGGCCCGTAATCTGCCAGCAGCACCCTATGTCAAAAAATTCTACACACCAGCAGTGTGTGAGGAGACCTGAAAGTGGCACATGGCAGAGTGTGGCGATGGAGACAGCAGCAATGGGAGGCCGTACAGGGACCCATGAGAGACTCTGGACCTGGCAGCAGCATGAGGAGGCGGTATATAGGGGCCTATGGCAGATTAGGGGCCTGGCAGCAGCTATAGGAGGCCCGTAATCTGCCAGCACCCTATGTCAAAAAATTCAACACACCAGCAGTGTGTGAGGAGACCTGAAAGTGGCACATGGCAGAGTGTGGCGATGGAGACAGCAGCAATGGGAGGCCGTACAGGGACCCATGAGAGACTCTGGACCTGGCAGCAGCATGAGGAGGCGGTATAGGGGCCCATGGCAGATTAGGGGCCTGGCAGCAGCTATGGGAGGCCCGTAATCTGCCAGCACCCTATGTCAAAAAATTCAACACACCAGCAGTGTGTGAGGAGACCTGAAAGTGGCACATGGCAGAGTGTGGCGATGGAGACAGCAGCAATGGGAGGCCGTACAGGGACCCATGAGAGACTCTGGACCTGGCAGCAGCATGAGGAGGCGGTATATAGGGGCCCATGGCAGATTAGGGGCCTGGCAGCAGCTATGGGAGGCCCGTAATCTGCCAGCACCCTATGTCAAAAAATTCAACACACCAGCAGTGTGTGAGGAGACCTGAAAGTGGCACATGGCAGAGTGTGGCGATGGAGACAGCAGCAATGGGAGGCCGTACAAGGGACCCATGAGAGACTCTGGACCTGGCAGCAGCATGAGGAGGCGGTATATAGGGGCCCATGGCAGATTAGGGGCCTGGCAGCAGCTATAGGAGGCCCGTAATCTGCCAGCACCCTATGTCAAAAAATTCAACACACCAGCAGTGTGTGAGGAGACCTGAAAGTGGCACATGGCAGAGTGTGGCGATGGAGACAGCAGCAATGGGAGGCCGTACAGGGACCCATGAGAGACTCTGGACCTGGCAGCAGCATGAGGAGGCGGTATATAGGGGCCCATGGCAGATTAGGGGCCTGGCAGCAGCTATGGGAGGCCCGTAATCTGCCAGCACCCTATGTCAAAAAATTCAACACACCAGCAGTGTGTGAGGAGACCTGAAAGTGGCACATGGCAGAGTGTGGCGATGGAGACAGCAGCAATGGGAGGCCGTACAGGGACCCATGAGAGACTCTGGACCTGGCAGCAGCATGAGGAGGCGGTATATAGGGGCCTATGGCAGATTAGGGGCCTGGCAGCAGCTATAGGGGGCCCGTAATCTGCCAGCACCCTATGTCAAAAAATTCAACACACCAGCAGTGTGTGAGGAGACCTGAAAGTGGCACATGGCAGAGTGTGGCGATGGAGACAGCAGCAATGGGAGGCCGTACAGGGACCCATGAGAGACTCTGGGACCTGGCAGCAGCATGAGGAGGCGGTATATAGGGGCCCATGGCAGATTAGGGGCCTGGCAGCAGCTATAGGGGGCCCGTAATCTGCCAGCACCCTATGTCAAAAAATTCAACACACCAGCAGTGTGTGAGGAGACCTGAAAGTGGCACATGGCAGAGTGTCAGCACCCTATGTCAAAAAATTCAACACACCAGCAGTGTGTGAGGAGACCTGAAAGTGGCACATGGCAGAGTGTGGCGATGGAGACAGCAGCAAGGGAGGCCGTACAGGGACCCATGAGAGACTCTGGACCTTGGCAGCAGCTATGAGGAGGCGGTATATAGGGGCCCATGGCAGATTAGGGG